TCCTCTCCCTCCTCTCCCTCCTCCTCTCCTCTCCCTCTCCCTCCCTCCCTCCCCCTCTCCCTTCCTCCCTCCCTCCCTCCCCTCTCTCTTCCTCTTCCCCCCCACTATCTTCCACCATCGCTCAGTCAGGCAGAACTCTAAAAATAGGTCTGATGCAAACAACTGTGATGATATAGGTTGAACAGATGTAGTCTTTTGTAAATCTTCTAAGAATGTAGCATTGGAGTGCATCTACAAGTGGTTTGGCATACAATGAGAATAATCTTGGTTGTGGTCAACTTGGAATCATTGATTTGTGATCACTATCGATGACTCGGCTCTTTCTAGATGCTTTGTTAACTGCTGGATGAATCATTGATATTCAATATTAAAAATATCTAGTACTTGCTTCTATTTTTCTGTTTGAAAATAAAACAATATAAGAAACTGTTTTATGACATATTAAAGCTTGTATTTTTTTTTATGCAACAGTAGAAAGTAATTGTTTTATACAAGTATATTTTACATAAATATCCTAACTTCTGAGAAAGGAAATTCTCATAAATTATAATAAAATTAGTTGAGAAATTGGCTTTATAATTTACATATTTAAACATGGCTTTATATAAAATTTACATATTTTTTTATTAGAAACAATTACATATTTATGAAATAAAATAGAATTTATACCATGTAATATATTGATTTTTTATTTCAAAAACTCGTAACGTTTTAGTATTTACAATAAAAGTGTTAAAACTGTAACAGAGAACACTGTAGCTATTCATAGTTATCTTATTTTGATAGCTGTATCTTGAAAGTTTTGAATATATTTCTTTGAGAGATAAAATAACTATCGTTCCTGGAAAGTCAATTATCCAAAGAAAACTTTTAAAGAATATCCGTTTAATCTCTTGTTGCTTTGTATTCTTATAGGAGTTCGCCTGCAATGGGACAGTAATAGAGCACCCGGAGTACGGGGAGGTGCTGCAGCTGCAGGGGGACCAACGAGAGAATATATGCCAGTGGCTAACAAAGTCAGGTCTGGCGAAACCTGACCAGCTGAAGGTCCATGGTTTTTAATCGACTAACAGCAGCAACAACAATTACCATCCATGCCACAACTTACAACAACAGACAGCTCCGCCCCTTGTCAGCGCTATATGATCCTATCAAATTGAATCTGTATATCACTCACTAAACTCCTCGTGGGATATCCCAATTATATTCTATCACATAACATATAAATATATATATATATATTTACACATTCACATATATATATATTTATATATACACACCACACACGACATACACGCGTGCGTATATATATTTCAATAATAAAAAAGAAAACAAGCAAAACGGAGAGGGAAGTAAACGACAGAAGATAAAGGCGAATAAAAGAAAGGAGGAAGAAAGGAGATAAAGCGAAGAAAGGGAGGATACATAGGCGTATAACCGGCGTATACCTATAGGCAATATATCTCTATTCTAATCAGAATCTTTTTCTCGAGATAAAAAGCAATACGTCACATTGTAAGCCTTATGTTAGGTGATAGCGGCTGTTGAGGTAGGGATTTCCCACCTTGCAGCGGTGGATAGGACACATCTGATTTTGATAATTGTTGTCGAGGAGGAGGAAGAAGAGGAGGAATAAGAGCGGCATAGATGAACGAGCGATAATTAGTAGCATCGAATGGATGTTCGTTCTTGCATTAGGTAGTATGTATCTGGGAGCGATAGACGTATTCCGAGAAGGCAGTAAAGCTATAGGTTGACCGATTCGACTCTCTCCCTCCTCGTGTCCTCCACTCTTCTCTACATCGCCTCGTCTCGTAGAAAAACGATAAATTTTTCTTTTCTTTTTCCTTTTTTACGTTTGTATCGAAAATTAAGAGAGAATGTGTGTCTCACGCTGGTCTTTTGATTGTGATGATTTGTTGAATATTTGTAAGACCGATTTTTTATTCTTTCGCATAGAGGACGTCCTCCTTCGCCCCGTATCTCGTCTTCGCTCTTGCTTTCTCCCCCACTCCCTTTTTAAGACAGTAATAATTAATTGACGAATTGTTGTTTTTTTTTTTTTTTTTTTTGAAATGAGAGTTAATAAAATGTGGCTGTTCTAGATAAATAAATAATGAGTAAATGAATGAGCTATGATTCGACCATATCCCTCTTTCCTTTCGTTATTTTATCTTGAATTGTTCTCTCTCTCTCTCAGCTTTATTTGTTATAAAAAATTAAATATTTTAGAGATATTTTATAGATATTTTTTATATATACACTAGAAATTTTAGACATTGTTCTATTGATACGAAAGATTCTTTTTTTATATAATAGTATAAAGATAACGGATAATAAATGAAATTTTAATTAAAACATAAATATATCGAAATATCAGATATCTGTCGCCATGTGATTAAGAGTATGAGTGTTCGTTAAATGCGTGTAACTCGTCAAAAAATCATTAGATAAGCTATCGTTGTTTATCGATTCCATTTCTACTATGCTCTTTACAATCGCTGTTTCGTAGAATCATAGTTTCTTCGAATTAATTTAGCACGAGGCACAATCGTGAAATGTATAAAGAGAGATTGTATAAGGTAATTTTTTTCTATTATGTATCTCGTGTAAAATTTGTTTTGTTATTTATTCGAGGAATCTACAGAGGGTATTGTAGAGTATGCAAAATGCTAGAAATAATCATGAAAAGTTGAAACTGTCAGAAAAACCAATTCAACATAACTATTTATTACTTAATGAAAAAAAACGTATGTTTACTTTCCCAGCAAAGATAAATTAAATTAAGAAGAATTTTCCAAGAATTTTCCTGTAACTTTACAAATAGAGAAACGGTATAAAGAAATTAAAATTACTAAACTTTATACTATTTTTGTCGTTTTGAAATTCAAAAAAAATGAATTTTTTTTGAGAAGCATAATCAAATTATATATCGTTCACTCTCTTTTTCTTTCGTTCTAAAAGTTAAAATAGAATTTGTATCTCGATTCGTGTAAAACTAAATGTGTATAAAAGCAATTGGTAGAAAAAAATCGTTAAAAAAATGAAATCTAATCGGTAATCGGAATACGACACAGTAGCAAGAAAGAATAATAAATAAAGTATCTTCGTCCCTCAGATTTTCTTGCATGCAAAAGTTAGGATTTTCGTTAAAATTTATCTTCCTTGATCAAGTCTTGTTCCATCTTCGTTTTTGAAAAGAAAAAGAGAAAGACAACTCTCGGGGGAAATCGATTGCCGATTTGAAAGTCGCGCGCGACGACGTTGCGCGCCCTCTCGTGACGGCGCCGTGGCGGCGGGGCTGTGCGGCGCATCACCGGGTCCCAGAATGCATCGCGCGCCACGGCATGTGCCTTTCCGCCATTTTGTAGTTTGCTCGAGAGACTGTATTGAGTTCGATTCTTCCACCTCGGTAAGGAAACACAGTCGTGCGAAACGGCCGCGCGTTGATCCGCTCGGCGCGGTGGGCCGTGGTACGCACAGGGCGGATCGTTACGCGCGCGTCGCGCAGCGTCTCGAATTCGCGTGAGGAACGTGCAAATCTCGCTGCCGCCTGTCTCGCCAGCCGTCGTGCTGCTGCTGCTGCTGCGTCGCGTATTTCGTCGCGCGCACACGAGCGTGTGCGTGCGTGCGAGCGAGCGGACGGGCGAACGAGCGAGCGGGCGAACGAGCGAGCGAGCGAGCGGGCGGGCGGGCGGACAGACGGACGGACGGACGGACGGGCGAACAGACCAGCGGTGCGATCGAGCCTCTAGATCCAGGGCCAGTCGATCATCGTGGCAGTTACAAACCAATTCGCAAACGCACACGACGCCCCGCGCGCACACAACGAGAGCCAAGAGCGAGAGAGCGAGCAACCAAGTGCCTCGAGAGCTCTCTAGTCGAGAAACCGATCTGCACGAGGCCGTTCGAGAGATAGAGAGAGAAAGAGAGAGCGAGTGAGCGAACGAGCGAGCGAGCGAGCGAGCGGGCGGACGGACGAACGAACGAACGAGCGAACGGGCAGGCACCTCGTAGCGCTAGATTCAGGGCACATGGGATCATCCGGGCCCAACTCGAGATGAACGGTGATTTCGGTAACGACCATCCATCCCATTCATCAAACGCAACCACTACGCAACATCATCATCATCATCATCATCATCATCATCACTACCATCATCGTCATCATCATCATCATCATCATCGTCATCATCATCATCGTCGTCGTCGTCGATGTTACACGCGCTCGTGTCGGAGAGTTCTAGTATTGTCATCGCGCCGCTTCATCCACTTCGTCACCATCACCTCCTCCTTATGTTGGTGTGTCTTTCCGTGCCGCATGTTAAACTCGCGCCGTACGTCGACACGTCGTTATCGTAGTCGTCGTCATCGTCCTTCACCTCGTCCACGTTGTCGTCGTCATCGTCCTCGTCATCACATCCGTATATATTCATCGTCGTTATCATCATCTTCATCTTCGTTATTATCATGATTATTATCATCAGTGTCGTCATCGTCCTTGTCCTTGTCCTCGTCGTTTGTGTCGTCTTCTTCGTCGACGTCGACGTTGTCGTTGTGTCGCGGTATCACATTCGTCCGATCGGAGAGCGGCTCGGCGCGGCCGCCACCGTGTCGTGTCCCGATCGCGCTATATTTGGCCGATAACGCGCCGCGCGTTCCGCAACATATTGCGCGTCCTTCTACACGGGGATCCTCGCCTGGTGCGCTGCGAGCATCTCCGAGCGGCCGTCGTTGTGGCACGCAGTCCGACTCCTCGTCGCCGAGGATCGTCGGCGGCTCCTTTAACGTGGTGGGAGCACCATCACGAAGGCTGATCTTGTGTCATCACGTCGCCAACCTCAACCGTCGTGTGAAATTCCTCTCAATATTGTTCTCTTGGCTTCCACGTTAAATCTCGCGAAAGCTTTTACACGCACAATTCCAGATAAATTAAATTGTATTCTATCTGTGGGCTTGCAATTGTGATCTGTCGAGTAGTTCTGCATATTGAGATATGTGATTCGAGTCGAATGTTCTTCTGATCGGTGCTCCATCACGGGATGCTATTATCATTGTCATGTTGGTTTAGGGAATCAGGACTGTCAATATTATATAGAACATTTAACTTGTGCAATAAATTTTATTACATGTGTGTGTGCGTGCGTGCGTGCGTGTGTGTGTGTGGTGTGTGTGTGTGGTGTGTGCACATATATATATATATATATATATATAAGTAATATATATATATATATATAT